GAGCAGGAATACCGATTGTGGGAGCCACGGTGGCATGGCTACTCCATTCGAATGACGGTGATCTCAGATTTGCTTTCAAATGAGTTCTTGGAATGCTCCCTCCCTCTTCTCTCCCCAAGGGCTACTAGCATTCAGCGGGACCAGTTCTTCAGCATCACTCTGAATATAGTGATAACGTGCATGTCACCAACGCTAGAATGAAATTCTTTGGGCCGAGATATGTACGTGTCGGCCATCGATGCCGGACCATGGAAATAAAGCTAAAGATCCTGCGGTGATTGTGGCATGTACGGGTAGTTACAGTAAAACTTTGAATGAGGTTGGACAAACCTCTCTCTAAGGTTGGACCACCATTGCCTTAACCCTGCGGACCTCCGAATAAACGAAATACAACTCACCATAAGTATCACGGAAGGGATGGGCGTTCGAAAATGCTTGTTAGTCATTGCCAAAATCACTGGCATTTGGCCTTCACGAGCTCCACAGAAGAACAATCTGTAATTGGGTTTGAAGGCCTCACACATCGCATTTCATTTCATTTATTCCAGGGAACTTCTGAAGACAATCATATTCTACATATTTAGAATCTACCCTACCTCGAACTCATCATGAGACTGCCGTTTGCGGACCCGAACGTGGAAATGGCGACAAAAAGTGACATTATGAATGAAAATTTGCCATATATTTTGTTTGCATACGTCTAAAAGTGAAAAAAGATGTGGAAAGCAGTTAGCCGACTGGAGCAAGAAAAAAAAATCAAGTGGGAGCGGGCAGGGATAGGAAAGCTCCTCGCGGCGTCTAAAATTCTAGCAGGGTGCTATATAAAGAAATGGAGAAAAAAAAGGAAATACATCGGTCAGAACGCTTCAGAAAAGGCATTGTTCTATATAGTTCAGAAATTGTTTCGGACGAGTTCCCCGAAGGCATCTTGCCTATAACCGCACAATATGTACACCATACATACCCTCGTCATCCGGGCAGTTGATTAGGGCGGTCGTCAACGGGCCGCAGCGCGTGCCAGGAACTATTTGCTTTTTCCAGGCTAATTTAGTCATTTTTTCCAACTTTTCACTGTTTTGGCTACTTTTTCCCAGATTAGCAGCTCCTTATCTTCACAAGGTGGAAAAATGACTAAATTAGCCTGGAAAAAGCAAATAGTTCCTGGCACGCGCTGCGGCCCGTTGACGACCGCCCTAATCAACTGCCCGGATGACGAGGTTACTGCGTGCATGTACGCGTATATCCGTGCGGCACCGCAGCCGCTTCATATCAATCCATTCGCTTCACATTGTACCTCGAATGATGCGATACGAACATTAGGTATGGTCGTCTAACTGTGGGCGGGCCGGCGCGATGGGTACCGGGTCGGTATGTTGCAGTTAGATAGGGCCTTACAAGATACCCTCCTCAGAAAAAGTAAGGCAGAGGGCTCGATAAACCCCAATAAGGCATGTAAGACGAACGCGCCGATCACCAGAGGATTCCGCGGCGTCAAGACAATCGAGCACGCAGACGCAACGTGCATGCGTCTATGTATAGCCAGACGCGTGCTTGTCTGCACCCTCTCGAGTCTAGATTTTCTCCGCACTTAACCGAGATGGACACTTCGCCGTTCAAGTTGTTCGCTGCGTGACCTTGGTGTCGAGGCATATGCTGCACGCTGTGGACGTCGGGTACGGACCCAAACGACATCCATTTATCACATATTCCAACCTATTTTCTACGCCCCCCCCCCTGAATCACAAAATGTTCTCTCTTCTATAGCTTCTTCGATTACCTCCCACTTAGCACCGATTCACCTCAAAGGTAGGCATAGAGCTTGTCTTCGAGCATGCAGCTTTGGTTCTATTTTAAACTGAGGCGATTGCTGGACGTATTTTAAGGCCTGTGCAATGGCTTGCAGTGACTGAATACAGTATGCAGTTGAGATCCATGCAAGCGATAGAGCGTGTGGCGCGATGAATCAGAGCGCAGCCGGAGCGGCCCTTTTATTTCCACCAATGGTATCACGCTGACTCTGCTACAATTGATCGAAAACCTGCCCCGGTTGTGCTCGAAGCCACGCCCCCAGACACCCTATCATTTTCGGGAATATGACAGTAAAACCTATGAGTTGGAAAACATACCACAGAAGCAGCTGGATGCAAAATAATTTCATCAGGAGAAAGGACAACATACAGAGCAATATTGTAGAGAACATAAACCACGGTGACTATTGTCATTGAAATCAAAAATGCCAGAGGTAGATTTCTAAACGTTCATGAATATCCAAGAGAGTGTTTCAAACATGTAACTGTCTATTTGCAGTTGTTCTCGCTGCAGACGATCGTGTCAGGGAAGTTGGGCTTGATACGGCACAAGCCTGTTTTCCACCTATTGTTGTCGCTTACCCGCTTCAACCACCAGTGAAGAACGGGCTGGCATCGCCCCAAACTCAGCCCCACACGCCTAAGCGCCCGCAGCAGACACGGTAGAGGCACGGTCCACGATCAGCTGAGGAATAAAATACTTTCCATGTATAATGTGGTTTAACCACAACAACAAAGGCACCTCTGTAGCCCTCAAACAGTGCGTAGCAAAGGCTTTCCCCGCCCACAGGCGTCCACTCCACTGAGAGCAGCGGTATTGCTCGGTGTAATTTATCGTCTTTCGTCACCTGGTCCCTCATTGCTTCTTCTCCGCATCCTCGGACAAGCCTTCATCTCAACTGCTGAAGGCATTATTTCAAACATTTTCGATGGATCCGCTCGCTCCGTTCTCCACCCTCGTACCACCTCAGAATTTATGCCTGAACCCCACTACCTTGGCCCTGCTGCGTGGGATGTGCTTTCGAAGGACCATTCCATGCCAGTCGAAGAGGCGCGGTGTGCTTCGCCTTCGTCGCTAGGAAGGAGGATTGCGCCAAAAAGATAGGCGCAGTACTACGGGCAGCTTACGAAGTGCCTTTGAAGTCACATTTGCTCGGATACGGTAAAGAAAAAAGAGCCAGTGGGAACTGGAAAGAGGGGTTCGCCTGTTCTTGATTCGCCATGGCATCAAAGTAGACTATGGCCTCTAATCTACAGTTTAAGGGCTCAGCATAATCGTTGGAAATATTTTCTTCGCTCGATTTCTTAACTAGCAGTGTAAATAACAACCGTCTTGGATTGATGAGCTCCTCTGTGATAGTATTCAGGTATGCCCATCCTTGATATGCGAACAATCCAGAGTAAAATGCAACTGCAGCGGATCCAAACGTACGGAAATTTCCTTCGAAGATATGGTCAAATGAGTCCCAATACATTGATTTCCCTAAAATAGAACGTTGTCTCTCAAGCGATCCCAGCACGATCTGGAAACGGAAGTCGAAGACTGAGTACGGCCTTGTTCGCTGCAGCCGCGGCGGCGTGTCAAGGGACAAGGTCTGGCGTTGTGCCGTTCTCCACCAGTTGCTGAAGAGGGCAAGTGACAACAATTAGTGAAGAACGGGCTGGTGCCGCGCCAAAGTCAGCCCTGACATGCAGTAGCGACTACTAGTATCTGCATCTCCTCGATCTGATCTTACGCAGTCGTCGTCACGTCCCAACTAGTCCTTGGTAACGCCCTTTTTGATCAACTATTGCCTACATCCAATCCAACCCAACAAGTCCCTGGAAATCTTCTGTGGGGCTCTCTACTCCTCCCCTATTTTTCCGAATCACACAATTGCAGGTGTCGTTTAGCGAACTCGGCTAGAAACCGAATCTCATGTCACATTGCTTGACTCATTTCAGGAGAACAAGCACCTGAGTCTTACCGAATATGAGAAGATATCCAGAAGTCAAGATAACCGTTAGTAGAGCGAGCACCTTGGCGATTGTGAACCAGTCTTGAAGTCTGGCTACAGCTTTAACCGAATAACAGTTTATACCACAGAGAAGTACTGGAAAGATAATGATGTTTGCTGCGCGGCAGTCCTCGTTGACGCCGAACCGCCGCGCGACCGCGCGCGCGATTTTCTTGATAGAAACTTGGTCGGTGAATTGGAAATAAGAGATGTTGTGGCACTATTCACTCTACTCTTTCTGTGAATGTTAAAAATAGGTAGTATTTTGACTTCCTGGAAACGGATCACACCCACTCCGAATGTTGGAGCTGGCACAACAGGAGCTGGAGCATGGTACCTATATCATCAAAGTAGCTGGGTGTCCCCCAAATACCACATTTGCTTGAGAAACGTGCATACGCCGCTGGGTCAGTGCAGATTATTCCAGACCACTAAATCGGCTAGAAATTTGTAGTTGGGCAACGTCTTACCCTCCGAACATAGATACCACCTTCACTCAGGCGCTAGGGGAGTTCAAGACAACCTA